TAATACTTTAAGTGTATATTTGTATGACAAGTATAAGTATGTAAAAGTATGACGAAAATGTATAACTTTCTAAGTTAAGATTAATTGTATGGTTCTATATTCTTCGTAGGCAGAAAGTGTACTGGACAAAGTTATAGAGAAATGTCAAATTAACCGAATGCTTCATCTTCTTCTAAGACAACCTAAACCTCAGTGTGAGAATAATTTTAAGTTGTAAACATACCTCAGCAGTATCCAGGGACAGTAAAACATTCACCGCTAGAGAACAGGACATAGAAATGAAGAGCCCAGCATGTTATCAAAATATTTATACAACTGCAATTATTAGACTGACAGCTTTAAATCTATTGGTTATAGAGGCACAGTGAAACATTCAGCAATACACGTAGGCTCAGCAAGTTATTACAAAAACCATATATACCTCCCAGAGGGTTTTTGAGTGTGCACGCATCTACACCAGTTGTGCTCTCCATACATTTTCTAAGCTCTTGCAGGACTCTAAAGGAACAGTTTGAAGTATTTTGGCTGTAAAATATTGTCTAGCATGTAACAGTCGTACATATAGTAGAATAACAGCAGGATACCGATAAATGTCTTACAAATATTTATGTCTTTTTTTTTTATTCCTCTGTTTGCTATGATCTCATATTTGGAAAGCATGGCAGCTTTTGTATGAAGTGTTTAGAAGATCTAAAAAAAAAATATGAATCAATTTTGAATAAGTAGATGAGCAATTCGGTCCACTGGGGTAAAATTAACGCAGTCTAGGACCTTGCGTAATGTGTATGGGTCTGTCTGTGGGGGGGAGTGTGTGTGTATGCGTCAATCTGTTTGGGGGGGCAGTCTGTGTATGGGTAAGTCTGTGTGGGGGGCAGTCTGTGTGTGGGGGGCGAGTCTGTGTATTTATTGGTCAGTCTGTTTGTGTATGGGTCAGTGTCACGTTCTGTTCCTCGCTGCGGATCATTCTGCATTGGTTCTGGTATCCAGTACTCTTTTTGCTTTCCTTGCTTGGTTTTTCTGGTTTTCTGGTCTATGTCTGGTTTTCTTTGTTGCTGGGATTTCTGGGTTCATTTCTGTAATCCATGCCTGGGATTCCCAGTCTCCAGGTTTCCTTTAAATGTTTGTTTTATGTGCCACACCCGTTTGTTTCCACTTACCCTTTTGTTTCAGCTTGGACCTGCAGCAGTATTTCATCTCTCTGCCCTTTCTTGCAGGTAAGTGCTATTGTGGTATAGTGTGGTTGTTTTAGTTTGCATTAGGCAGTGTAGGACCTGCCAGATATGGGGTACATTGGCGTTGTTGGCAGGCTTATGCAATGTATGATCATATAATGTAACTAAATCCCCATGCTTTTCATAATTAGTGCTTAGCTATGTTTCCTCTTGTTTTACCTTGTATCTCTTGTCTTGGTTTGTATACCCAGCCCATGTACAGTCCTGTCCAGTCATGCCCATGTTATGTTCATGTTTACCTCATGTCTTGTGTATATGTTCTGGGTTTAGCTTCCTATCCTTCTCTGGTTCTGGGTTCTATTAGTTCTGTCTTGTTTTCATGTTTGGTGCCAAATTTAGTCTTGCCTTGTTTCTAGTACTGGATACAATCCTGCTGCAGAGCCTCCCTATTAAGCTCCTGGGAGGTCTGCTTAATTTCCAAGTTCCTAGTTCCTGTTATCTGCATAGGCTGAATCAGGGTCTTGGTATGTGGCTGCACAAACGCTGGTGCTCAACACCAGGGGGCGTGCGGTTACCCTGCACCAGACCCTGCTAATCCACCTCCACGCTGAAGACTCCCACTTATCATCAGGCATATTGGGTCCCGGTCCACGCGCCGCCGCCTGGACACTGTGTCTGGGTTCCGGGCACCGGACTGCCACCCGTGATAGTCAGTCTGTGGGGGGGGGGGCAGTCTTTATATGTGTCACATCCTGTCCTGTTCTGCGGAGATGTCTAGCTTTGGCTTCTGGTATCCAGTACTCTTTTTTTTACAATTCTTGTGTAGTTTTTCTTGGTTTTTCTGGTTTTCTTTTCCATGTCTGTTTTTTTTTTTATGCTGGGTTTTCTGGGTTCATTCCTGTATTCTATTCCTGGAATTCCCAGTCTCTTGGATTCCTTTAAATGTTTGTTTTATGTTGCCACACCCTTTCCTTTTCCATTTATCCTTTTGTTTAAGTTGGTTCCTGCAGGCAGTTGCTTCAAGTCCTCTGCCCCTTTCTTGCAGGTAAGTGCTGTGTGTGTTTTATTATTGTTTATTTAGTCATGCATATCTTTGTATGTGTCACATCCTGTCCTGTTCTGCGGAGATGTCTGGCCTTGGCTTCTGGTATCTAGTACTCTTTTTTACAATTCTTGTTTAGTTTTTCTTGGTTTTTCTGGTTTTCTATTCCATGTCTGGTTTTCTTTATGCTGGGTTTTCTGGGTTCATTCCTGTATTCCATTCCTGGAATTCCCAGTCTCTTGGATTCCTTTAAATGTTTGTTTTATGTTGCCACACCCTTTCCTTTTCCATTTATCCCTTTGTTTCAGTTAGTTCTTGCAGGCAGTTGCTTCAAGTCCTCTGCCCCTTTCTTGCAGGTAAGTGCTGTGTGTGTTTTATTATTGTTTATTTAGTCATGCATATCTAGGTAGATAGAACCCACCGTAATTAGAGTACTTTGTCGCAGTTGGTGGGCATACATCTTGGCCATATATGAATGTCTAACTCTCCAATGTTTTACATATATAGTACTTAGTTATGTCTCCTCTTGTTTTGCCTTGCATCTCTGGTCTTGTTTTATTTTGTCTTGTATTCCCAGTTCATGTACAGTCGGGTCCTGCCCTGTTCATGTTTCCCTCATGTCTTTCATCATCATCATCATCATCAGGCACTCAGGAGTCTCAGTTTCCGTACGACCACCAGTGACAGTATGTGTATGGGTCAGTCTGTGTGGGGGGGGGGGCAGTCTGTGTGTGGCGGGCGAGTCTGTATGTGTATGGGTCAGTCTGTGTGTGTTGGGGGCCGCCTGTGTGTGTGTATTGGTCAGTCTGTGTGGGGGGCGAGTCCGTGTGTGGGGGGCAAGTCTGTGTGTGTATGGGTCAGTCTGTGTGTGTGGGGTGAGTCTGTGTGTGTATTGGTCAGTCTGTGTGTAGGGGGCAGTCTGTGTATGTGTATGGGTCAGTCTGTGTGGGGGGGCAGTGTGTGTATTGGTCAGTCTGTGTGGGGGAAGAGTTTGTGTGTGTGTATTGGTCAGTCTGTGTGTGTATTGGTCAGTCTGTGTGTGTATGGGTCAGTCTGTGTGTGGGGGCAGTCTGTGTATGTGTATGGGTCAGTCTGTGTATGTATGGGTCAGTCTGTGTATGTGTATGGGTCAGCCTGTGTGGGGTGGCAGTCTGTGTGTGTGTGTGTGTGTGTGCATGGGACAGTCTGTGGGTGTGTATGGGACAGTCTGTGGGTGTCTATAGGTCAGTCTGTGGGTTTGTATGGGTCAGTCTGTGTGTGTGTGTATATTGGTCAGTCTGTGTGTGGGGGGCCAAGTCTGTGTGTGTGTATGGGACAATCTGTGGGTATGTATGGGTCAGTATGTATGTGGGGGTGCAGTCTGTGTATGTGTATGGGTCAGTCTGTGTAGGAGGGCAGTCTGTGTGTGTGTGTATATGAGACAGTCTGTGGTTGTGTATGGGTCAGTCTGTGTGGGGAGGGGGGTCAGTCTGTGTAAGTGCCTGAGCTCCAAGAGAGATACCTCTCATCTTGTGACCTCCCCTGTACCCGATGGATACGCAGGCTTCTCAACCACCACAGATCTTATTGTGCCACCCCACCCTGCAAGGTAAGATCAGGGAAAGGGGAATTTTTTGAAACTCTTATTAAAGAACAAAGTACACCCTCACAGACAGTGAACCCCCCAAATACAGTACACTCTCACCCACACAGAGTACACCTTTGCATACACACACAGTGCACCCCATCCCACACATTATCTCTTCACCCACATACACACTTCATGACCACGTACATTCATCCCCACACACACATACATACATACTTCACCCCATTATACACCGAATCATACACACCCCAATACATACACACATACACACTACATGTATGTACGTAGTGGGCATTGGATGAGATATTCCCTTCAGCCACATAACTTCCCCAAATAACGACAGACTCAAGAACTTGGATATAACAGGCCACAGCATTTATTAACATAACCAAATAGTGTATAACTCCTTTAACGTTTAAAAATGTACATAATATATATGTAATAAATTAACATAAATAACTTACATAAAGTCAAACAGTAATGTAACTGAAAAAACGTCCTTGCCAATCTAAGTCCCTCTTCCCAAAGGCTCTCACCTCCCCCCTTCGGCATAATAAAACTTCTCTTCCTTTTGGGCTCCCCACCAGCTGGCTTTTTGCTCGGTGGAGCCCGACCATAATGCTCCCCACCAATTGGCTTTTAACTCGGTGGGGACACATCCAACCTGGTACCCCTTAGGGTTCACCATAAGAGACAGGGGAAGGATGAGACCCGGCCATTATCCCGCTTATTCATCTAACCTGTAAACCATCTCTCCTTTATTTGGCAAGGACATGCCCCCGCCACAAACCCCGCTGTTTTAAGCCTAAAATCAGCAGGGGCCCCCACCCAAACCACCCAAGGCCTGTTCCACTGCCTCCTGGATCACCAGATTAAAAAGGTCGAGCCCGACCTCTGTCAGATGCACCCCAACTGGTTGAAACAAATCTGCCGCATCCTTCTCAAAGACCTGATGCCGAATGGGTATCCCCCTGACCCCCACAACAAATTTCGCAATCCGCCTATTAAACTTTTGCGGCAGCGCTCCAGTGCACTCTGGCTGTGGGCCTGCCGCCAATAGTTCCTCACCACTACCTCTGACCAAATTAAGCAGACATCAGGGAACAGGATCAATATCTGGGACAAGTCCCTCCTGAACATGTCCACCAAGCCCCCGACCGGCACGGTCCCCAAGTCGTTGCCCGCCAAATGGATGGCTAACACAGACGGTGCCCCTAGCAAATGAGAGAGCGTGACCAAGTCAGGGAGGAGCCGGACCCACCTCATGCCTCTGGCGCCAAACCACCGTACCTCCGCAGTTGAAGGCGTGAAACCGAGAAGCTCCCCCCAGGCCGGATCGCCATTCGCTGCCATGCCCAGTGGATGTAGGAATGTCCGATCAACCAGACCCTGGGGGGGACCGAACCTGATGATTAAAACAAAAAACATTTAGCCCAGGAGACCAGCAGGACGCAAATAAGATACAAACCTCCTGGATTCCCACCTCCCTATCCTCTGTACCTCCTGATCCAGCATACCCAGCCGAGAAGCCTCCATCGCGGCGCCAATTCGAAAGGAGTCCCCACCAAACTCTGCACCCTCCAAGCCCAACGCAGCCAACCCTAAAATAAAAACCCTAACAAACTGAAAATGGGAGAGGAAGCTCCCATCGTCATGCACTAGCAGCGGGCCAGACAGTGCAGGGCGAACCTCGCAAAAACACAGAAAAGACAGGACTGGGCAGGTGGCCAACCCAGGGGCCGCCGCCAGCTGAACCACTTACCCTTCCCGAACACGTCAGTCTTGGAGCGGCGAATCTTAAAGGAAACCCGGTCCAGCCCCTGCCTAACATCAGAGAAAAGGATCCCCTCAGTGGTCGACCTGCTCGGACACACCAACTCCCCAATCCTCATGGCCCCAAAGACAGCGAACGAAAAGGCAAGGCGAAACAGCCGCACCTCAAAGTCCGAGAAACACACCTGTGGGAGCACTTGGCACAATTGCGCCAGGAGCGCACCTGACACTGGCCTCCTTGAATCAACAGTAACACGACCCTTGCGCAGCCACTTAACTGCCTGCCTCACTAGAAACTTCTTGGTCACGTCCCCCCAGCCCTGCAGCTTGAACAAAAAACTCAGCCGAGACAGGCATCAGGACACTGTCGAAGGCGATATGCCCGTAGAAACCCAAGAGTTCAAAAGCCGCAACAGACGCTGCAATCCAGCAGGCGTATCTTGAAAGACCCCAACCTTGGACTCCAGCTCGTGCCATTCTACCCATACCTTCAAGTGTCTGGCCCAATAGGAACTAGCCACCGACACCCGAACCTAGAGACCACAGCTCCGCCGGACACTGGCAACCCTCCTCGTCCGCGTGAGGCGCAGCTGCTCGGAACTCCACCCACTGTGAACGAGAGCATCCGCAATCACATTGTGAACCCCTGGAACATGCAGTGCCCTACACGACACATTAAGGCATAGGCACCGTAGCACTAAGCGCTGGAGCAAACGAACCACCGGCGGAGAAGGGGCAGAGAGCTGGTTTATCGCTTGCACGACCCCCAGATTGTCACAATGAAAAACAACCTGCCGGTCCTGCAAGTCCAAACCCCATAACTCCAACGCCACCACTATGGGGAAAAGCTCAAGGAAGGCAAGATTCCTAGTCAGGCCAGAGGTGCACCATGCCTCCGGCCAAGTGTCAGCGCACCAGCGCGACCCCAATATTGCCCCAAAGCCAACGGAACCATATAGAGGTGAAGATCTGACCCGGATACCTCTGGCGCCTGCCAATACAACCTCCCATTATACTCAGCCAAGAAAGTATCCCAGATGTCCAAGTCGTCCCGCAACTGCCGCATGAGCCATATAAAATGCTGAGGCCTTGCCACCCTAGCGGTCTGTTGAAAACCCGCCTCATGGGCATGATACGGCAGGCGAAGTTCAACTTCCCCAACAGAGATTGCAGCTGACACAGCTGTATCTTCCACAAGCCCCGGGCCACCGCCATGTCCCGGTGCAGCCCTTCCACTTTGTCCTGAGGCAAACGGCACTCCATGGCCACTGAATCTATCTCGATGCCCAAGAAGCTAGGGCACGTCACCGGTCCCACTGTCTTATCATGCACAAGGGGGACCCCGAAGCGCCCAAACACCCTTTCCACTGTGTTGAGCAAGCTCCTACAAGCCTGAGAATGCACTGGGCCCACACACAGAAAGTCATCAAGATAGTGCAGCAGCGAGTCGATCCCCGACTCCTGCCGCACCACCCACTCCAGGAAAATGCAATCCATCGGAAGGCACATATCCACGTAATACTTGCCCTCGAAACTACAAGATGATGGCAATCCGGGTGCAAGGGCAATAAGCAAAATGCTGATTCCACGTCCGCCTTTGCCAGCAATGCCCCAGGGCCAGCCGCCTCGACCTTGCGAATGGCTGCATCAGATGAAGCATAAGACACCCGACACAGCTCGGCAGATATATCATCATTCACCGAACCCCCGTGAGGGTATGACAAGTGATGAATTAGGTGAAATTTCCCTGCCTCCTTCTTGGGCACCAAGCCCAAGGGAGACACGCAAAACAGAGGGGGGAGAGAGGGCAGCAGGGGGGAGAGAAGAACATACCCGGCCCATGGACCACCTAGGGGACAGAGGGGGAAGAAAAGGGCATGGGCGCAGGGGAGCCCAGAGGCCCAGTAACCGTGGAAGACATCCCCCACCCGACGGCAGAGGGAGAGACACCCGGCTCACAGACCCCCCAGGTGACGGAAAGGGGAGAGAAGAGGAACGGGACGACATCCTGCCACTGGACCCAGGGAGTGAGTGGCCTGCCTGCGAGGCCGCTGCCCGGCCACCAGGGGCAGCGGGAGGAACAGGGGATGGTGCAGGCTGCATGCCACGTGGCTCCCTGTTGCCTCGGGCCCGGGCTGCGACTCCAGTACCAGGCCGGAGGAGATGAGCTGGGGCTCAGCCGAACCGGAGGGCAGGTGCCCCGACCCACGCTAAACGGCCACCCAGGGAGGGTGCCGTGGGAGGGGGATCAGAGGGACCGCACCACCAGACAGCTGGGGCTTGAGTAGGCGAGCAAATTGCTTGCGGAGCTGCCGGCCACCGTCCACTGCTGCACCAGCCCTGAGGATTGACAGGATGGATTCAATATCCATAGCCACAGGCCGAAAATCCTACAGGTCCAGAAACAGGAGGAAGTTCACAGAAACTTTTGCTGGCCCGGCTCCTAAGTGGCACTGAGGTTAGTCTGATCTGTCACAACCCACTTCCTCCCATACCACACTCCCACACGTAACAAATAGCCAATCATGCTTCCTCCATTCCCATACTCATACATGTGCCTCTTGTCCGCTAAGCTGTGCACTCTCCCTGGGACCTGCTCATTGATAAGCACTCAATGCAACCCCAATATACATACACTCACACTGTTGTCCCTAGATGCACGCACTTTACAAGCCCTCTCAGCACACACACATTCTCAAAAGCTCCTATATGTGAGCATGTGCTCACATTGCAGCTCCTAGTTACATATAGTACACCATAAACAGACTACTATATACACACACGTCACCACAGCCCCTTCTAAACACAATTGAAATTGATCTTTCATCTCCTGAAAAGGTGTTTTGCCTGTAATAAGGAAGGCGCAGTGGTGGAACTACAGGCACTGCTAAGCTTGCGGTTACACTGGGGCCCATTGAGTGGCCTGTGCACTTAGGGCCAATCCATGAGCATGTGTCTTAAGGGGCCCAAAACTATTTTAGCACCATGGCCCTCTCTACATTAGTTCCGCCACTGTGCAGCAGCTTCCCCAGCACACAAGCTCTGCCCGTGCATGGAAGATCGCCTCCCTGTATGCAAGCTCCACCCCCACATGGAGCTCCATTTCCACTCTCTAGCAGAGGACCTTGCTGCAAAAAGCAGCCTCCAGTTCTAGCAGGGCCGGCGCTTCCTATTGGCAAACTATGCAGTTGCCGAGGGCGCTCTGTGAGAAGGGGTGCCCTCAGTGGCTGTAATACAGGCTGAATCCCCCATGAGGTTATGCCGGCCTGTGTTTATTCACAGGGAACATAGAGACCCCGCCTCCACCTGTGATGCAGCTGCTGGTGCCCTTCCCCCACTGCTGCAGCCCTCCTCCTTATAATTAGGCAAGCTAAACTTCTTTCATAAGCACATAGGAGTTACGATTGTAACCCCGCCTCTGCCTGCTGACAAACCACTAACCCCACCCCTTCCACAGCTAACTCAACCCACAAATAACTTAACTCTGCCCCACCTGCCTCTGCCGCCTCCTCCCAAGTTTCTGCCTCCAGAAGTCCTTTGAAGAGGAGGGCAGTGGGAGGGAGAAGGTTCCAGGTGCTGCTTCCTCTGTCCCGTTCCTGGTGGCAGGGACCACATAAAGACTGGAAGCATAACACAGAACAGGTACCACACTGACTAACCGTACTGCTTCCAGTGCCCCTAGCCCCCAACTGAATATGTGAGGGAAGACGCTTGCTGTGTGTGTATTAGGCAGTCTGTGTGTGTGTATTAGGTAGTGTGTGTGTGTATTTGGCAGTTTTTGTGTCTATTACACTGTGTGTGTGTGTGTATTAGACAGTGTGCATATGTGTATTAGGCAGTGTATGTCTGTATTAGGTAGTGTGTGTGTGTGTGTGTGTGTGTATTTGGCAGTGTTTGTGTGTCTATTACACTGTGTGTGTGTGTGTGTGTATTAGGCAGTGTATGTCTCTACAGGACAGTTTGTGTATGTATTAAGCAGTATATGTATGTATTACATGTTCGTAACATCCTATATTGCATATATGTATTAAGCACGCAGTTTGTATCAGGGGTGTGGAATGTATATCGCCCAACACCTGGAACATGCAGTTCCGGGCGTTAAACAGGAAAAAAAAAATTTATTATGAGGGGTGTTGGTGCTTGTCTGTAGTGAGCTTGTGTGTATATCAGTGACTTTGTCTGTAGTGAGCTTGTGTGTGTGTCAGTGAGCTTGTCTAGTGAGCATCTGTGTGTTAGTGAGCTTGTCTGTAGTAAGCTTGTATGTGTCAGTGAGTTTGTCTCTAGTGAGCTTGTGTGTGTCAGTGAGCTTGTCTCTAGTGAGCTTGTGTGTGTCAGTGAGCTTGTCTGTAGTAAGCCTATGTGTATCAGTGAGCTTGTTCACACCCCATGGCGGCCGGCTTTAATGTTTTCTGCGCGGCTTAGCAAAGGGCTGACAAATCTCAGGTGCCAGAGTGAAATTTCTAGGAGCCATGGCAACCTGGCGTCTGTGATTTGTTGAGCCCTGTATATGTATGTGTGTGTGTGTGTGTGTATATATATATATATATATATATATATATATATATATATATATATATATATGTACTCACACACATATATACATGCTTTATAACCGCCCCCCTACTTTTGCCCCTGGCCCCTCATGTGCCCCCCTAAATATGAATGATTGTTGCAAGGGAGAGTGTAGATTAGTGAAATAGGACTAGACAGGGTGTCAGCCTCCCAGGGTCTCTGATGGAGCTATCACAGAGTTTGTATCTCGCAACAATGCCAGCATTTCTCTAGGATTTCAGGGAACCCTTATAGTAAGAATGTCGAGATCTTGTCCCAGCAGCTTAGTGGTTTGAAGGACACCTCTTGGTATTTGGCATTAATGGAGCTAGTGCGTAAGACTCCATGTTAAGGAGTGTTATACGGAACAATAGGAGGAGTTAGAGAGAGTGTTATATAGAGCAATAGCAGATAATATAGGAGGAGGAGTTAAACTAAGTGTTTCTTTGTCACAAATAGCAGGAGTCATAAAATGGTATAAATGGACTGGTGGGGCTTGAACGCCATGTCAAGCGGTCGTAATGAGCACAAGCTCGACTTTAACAATCATTGTTGTCTACAAAAAAAAAGTATGAAAAAAATGGTATCATTAGTTGCAGTGATAAAAACAATGGATATATGGAGCAATAAAAGGTGCTCAGAGTTTATTATTCGAAATCAGAAAAATGTATAGAGTGGCTCTTGTGCAACGCTGCATAATATGTTCATGCTATATAAATAATAGTAATTGTAAATTTACAGAGACATATATCATTATACCAAAGAGTCATACGAAGGGATATAAGAACAATGGGAGGAATCTCACCAGTTAGCCTGGGGGGAGTATCAGGAGGAGTTATAAAGGGCAGTTACATACGTTAATACTGAAAGGAGTTACAGAACACAGCGTATCAATATGATGAACTGTATAAAATTCTGTTTCTCATTGTCTCAATTGTCTGAATCAAACCTCTTCAACTTCAGCATTCTTGAGCAAATTATCCTGGTTCAGAAAGACGTTTACCAATTAATCAACTCAAGGTGTTAAATACCATTCAGCAACTGTTGAGTTAATGCAGATTTTTTTCCCCCCTTGTAAATCTGCCATGCTACAGATTCTCTGAACCCCTCATATAGACTTACTTTGAACAACGGGCTTAGTGCACAGACACGGCAAACTTTGTGGCAAGGGACTCATTTTAACTTTCGAACATCTGCTGCCTATCACTCATTCCAGGTTAATGCGAGTTAGATCCTATTAGCCACTCCAATCTTGTGTTTTCATTTTGAAGAGCAAAAGGTGAATAGTCCTGAAATTGATCTGTAAGAAGTTTGAATTCAATACCTTCAACGATACGACCATTTTCGGCGGTCATACACATTACAATTTCAATTAGAGAGCTGTATATTACAAAGGGATAGGCCTGAGAACTTCGTCAGGCACACAGAAAAGATTTTCTACGTTTACTGTACTTTTTTCGTGTTCCTTCCACTGACGGTGTGAGACTGATCTCTGCTTCTATACTCTTTTTTTTTTTTTTCTTCTTCTTTAAACTGGAAATTGCTTGCAGATTTTTTTTTTTCCCCAGTCTGCGTTCTTTGCCCTTCAAGAGAGAGAAAGCGGATTCGATCATACACTTACATATATATACATTCAGGTAGGTGTGGTTTATCATTTCAAAGCGTTCTATGTTCTGTCCGATAGTCCTGCTAAGTCGCCTTTTATTGAATATCACTCCTTGATTAAAGGGGTGAGTGTGTTTATTTTGATTCCTGTTTGCAAATGAAAAAATAATTATACATATATATATATAATGTTCTCAGTGTCTGAATACTACAACTAGTTTTGTGATTGAATTTTGTAATAATATGGCCAAATTCCATCATACTTGTCCATTACCGTCTTCATGGTGTGGTAACAGTTGGATTGAACAAGAAAAGCATTTTACAACACACAGTACGTAAATGTATTGTTTGACTTTAACAACGAAGAACTTAAATGGTTAAGTAGGAATTGGCGAAAACAAAAATTTCTTCCTCTAGGGGACGTTGTGACCTTCTGTTAACAGTTGTAACCCTCTGCCGACCATTCTACATTTGCAGGAGCAAGTCAATCATCGGGGGAGATATTTTGGCAAATCTATAACGGACTTGTTTATTTATTTATTTTTTTGTCCTTTTTCTTTTATGAGAAATATAATGAATTCTACACGTTGGTTTTGAGGTGAACCTGCATGTTCCAGGCAGTATCCGTGACATTTGAAAACGACACTGTGTCAAAGGCTAAGCCTCACAATCCCAGTGTGCATTTATGTGAACGCATAATTTGAATGCTTATTATATAGTTTATTTCCTGTTCTTTCTTCTTAAAATATAGTTATTGGTCCCATCTCGTTGTGGATTTCCAGACCCTCGTTGTGGATTTCCAGACCATTTATAAAAGCAGATGTTATACTTCTTTGTAATGATAAATAGACACAGGTAGAGGCTCTGCAAATCATTCGAAATATCTCTTCTTATATTAAAAATCAAAACAGTCCTTTCCGGGGTGTGACAGAAAGCAATTGGTGGTTTTATCTGTTAATCAGGGTAGGATGTTTTGTTACCACTTTGTAACCTAAAATAATATATATTTTTAAAAAAAAGCATAAATGAGATATTTAACCGTTGTATAATCAGTTTGAGCCAAATCATTGCGTCCTCTTAGCTTGAATTTTATTGGTAGCGTGAAACTTCAGAACTAAAAATACTTTTGGTAGCCCTGAACTTGACAGATAATTCATAAGGTCAGATATCTGTTTATGATAATCGTCATGTCCCCAAAAGGCTTGTGGATGCAATCTTGGCACATACAAAGTACCTAACTCTTATATGATAGGGGGTACTGCACCTTTTTTTGAAATCAGGAAGTATGAGATGATAGATAGATAGATAGATAGATAGATAATGATGGTAGATATCCACCAAAAAGTGGTTTATTCAAATTTAGTCTAAAATATGTCTTTAGTGAAGCTGAGTTTGAGAATTTTTTTTCAGAATCAGCTTTTTTTTTTGTTAAATTGGTTTAAAGTTTGCTGCGATTCAGTTTTTAGTGAATAAACCCCATTGAATCTATTTGCTATATACTTGTTATGTCCTTTTGATATTCTCTCAGGGCGTTTGACATACTGCCTTTATATATATGAGTTAAAATGGGCTGGTTTTCTTTTGGCATGTTAAAAACAGTCATGCTTAGTTTGTTTTATATGATTACAGAGTGCTTGTATTGCTTGCAAACTTAGAATGAATTAATTCCTTCCATTGGAAATGCAGCCTATGTCATAGTGTTCAGAAAATATTTTACCATTTACATCCGGGTCTTTTTTTTTGTTTGTCTTTTGTTTGTTTGTGTTTGTTTGTTTGTTTTGCTTTTGTGACATTATGTCATTATGAGCTAGTATGTATGTTGAGGACCAAATATCTATATATATATTTTTTTGCGACATGTAAAAATTAGAAACTGCTCTTATGTATGATCTTTTTTTTTTTTAAATCAGAATTTTTATTGAATTTTCACAAGTAAGTCGTGACATTCAAGAACAAAGTGTATAAGCAATAGTAAACGATAACATGTAGAGAAAAACAGAGTTATGTATGAAATCTTGACCATAAATATAGTTTTCGGGGTTTTTTTTTTTTGGGATGACACTTGTCAAATGTTCCTGTGTTGCTGTCTGGCACTGCCAGTTAAGCTTGCCAATGTGGATGTTTGCCAGCTTATGCTCGTATGCCCAGACAGTCATAAGATTGACAATTAATTATTAAAGCAGAACTTACACTTTTATGTAAGTGACAGTTACTCATTCACAACCCAGTAAACACTATTAAAGCATTTACTGGGTTGAGTACTGCAGCAAAGGTAAGTACGACAAACACTTTCATGTTCAATGCAACATCATCACCCCTTGATGTCCCTAGCATGTTCATGCATGCTTTGACATCTACTTTGAAATGATGTAGTACCATTTAAAAATTGATTTTATTGTGCCGTACCCTCACATGTCCCCACTTATATCGCACTGTAGGGGTTAATACACTGCACTGCCGTAGGTGTGCCAGGATAGCCAAACTTATAATATAAATTAAAAAAAAAATTACAATTATTATGAATATAAAGAAAAATCGTTAACTTTTATTTAACTAACTGATTGTGCAAAAACCATACAGTTCTGCTTTTATCCATATATGTGTGGCTTATTATCAGATGTATAGTTTAAAGTTTTCTTGCACAGATTTAAAAAATAAAAAAATGGTAGAAAATCGTCTAGATGAAATGGAAATAATGCTCTGTAGAATAGCCTTTTTTCCTCTTCTTTTTCTAGAATATCATGTTTCCTACTTGGTCAATAATATATTCTGTAGAATGAGGAACTGACAGGCATTAAACAAGATTTTTCATTTAGATAACGTTTTGCACTCATGGTCTTTCAGATCTGTTTAGCTTCAAATTGTCAGCCGTCAAATTCTTTTTTCCTCTTGATTTGAAGATCTTATTTTTAGACCCTTTAGATCCAATGCTTTGGGCTATTATTGTTTCGAGCTAGTGTTAAGTTTATTACTTTTGTGCGAATGCGAATTAATCTCAATGCTATCCATTTTTCAAGTTGCATATTTTACGCAAATTTGTAAGACTGTTCTAGACTTTTCTAGATGTTGAAATCGATTTTTAATACTTTCTTCTTTGCAGATTTGAACGACATTTCTAGAAAACAATATCCAATCTAGCACAGGTGGATGTCCTGTGTATAAAATTCATATAGACCAAGTCCATTTTTTTATTTTTATGGCACATTTTTTAATAGTCTTTTCATTTCGAGCATACTCCATACAACAATAATATTTGCAGTATTTAAAAAAAAAAAGAAAAAAATTGTATTTCATAATATTATAAACTATATATCATCTGTAGCTTTTTGTCATTCTGTTACACCTTCATTTCTACCTTCAGTATATGTGAAATAATTAGATGTTTTGAAAGTCCTGGAGCGACATTCATTTTACTTCCACGTTAACTTTTATAACAACAGATGCAGAATTTGTTGTAACTAACCTAGAAATTAAAAATTTGAAAAAAAGCTAAAATTCAACATGATTATAGCTTTTTTTTTCAGCTGTACTGTTTTGATCCAGGTTTTTGAACTGGTGTCTGCTGTCAGTGAATTGGTCCAACAGATCTATCATGTTTATTTCAAGGTAACTTCTAGGTCAGTGGTAGCCAACCTCTGGCAATCCACAATGTGCTGGCAAAGCGTCAGGGGAAATATAGTCTACAACATCTGGAGTGTCGAAGGTTGCCTACGCCTGTTCTGGGGGTTGTATCCTATGACCTGTGTATTATACGACTTAACTCCAAATTCTTTTACACCCAAGGAAATTGCCCTTACCAATATAGGGAAACTGTTCTGACTTTAGGATTTCAGTCAAATGTCTCAAGTTGTCTATATTTGTCACTACAAACTGAAACTACATGTGAGTTTTCTTAAAACTTGTGGGTTCTGGAATATGTATAAGCAGTAAATGTTTATTTTTAGTATAATATGGTTTACAACAGGGGATAAAAGAAAATTGCACCGAATCAAACTTTGTATAATTTTAAATATTTTAATTCCTGAGTAGTTCAAAGAAAAAGAATTATAAAAATGATAAAAATGTAAATACTAATTAAAGCAGTTTAACAGCTGTATCAACTGATTTGAAATAATTTGCATGTTCCTGTACATACAATTGCAAAGCAAATACACTTTTTGTTTTTAAACACAAAACACATAAACATAAATGTTGAAACACCAAACAAACCAATCTTGAAAGAAGACAATAAAAAATGTACTTTTTGTAATAAAGTGTGAAGTTATTACTGCAATTTTAACTTGCCTTTGAATCTGTCCTAAATTATTTAATGTGTAGAATATATAAATATAAAAAATATAGATTAACTTAAATATCAATAAATTGTTTTATAGGGAAATCAGCAGCTTATATTTAGCTGCTAAATGAGTGGTTAATTCATACATTTTGTGTGCTCTAAGTAAAAATTCAGTTATGACAAAGATAATAGTCACTTTATGTATTTTAGATTTTGAATATTTTTGAATTATTTATGCTTCTGATTAAGATGTAAGTTTCTGATATGTTTGTTTCTTGCTCCTAAATAATTACTATATTTTTTTTTCTGTATATACCTTATATAAATTTCACAATGCCACTGCAATTTAAAAACAAAACAAAAAAACATTACATTTCCATGAATAAAATGAGAGAAAATATATATTCTATGGCAAAGTAATAATTAAATTTGAAATTTAATTTACAGTTAATAAATAAAGAATCTATATTTTTAAAATTTATTTTTTGGTAACTGTTACTTAAACAAGTAAATGTAAAGAACAATATTTAAATATGAAAATGCCAGCTCTTCAAAATCAGTAAAATCTCAAAACTTTTATTTTATTGTCATTTTTAATTTTCAATGAATTGTAAGAAACAAACTCATACAAAAGAGGTGACATTCAAATAACAGCAATTAATTAAATAATATTAATGCCAATTATTTCAATAATAATTTATGCTGTGCTTTTCTTCCATATATGTAGTTTCTTGAATCAAAAAAGTATCACAACACATAAATATAATACATGCTATTTTAATATCTAATGCCAGAAAACACTCATTCGCTCAAATGATTTTTCTTAAAAATTTTTAAATCAAATTTGTAAAAACAGAACTTCTAATAAAATAAGATTTAATTTGTAAGAGTGGTGAAATATATATAATGTTTTTTATTTTCTGTTTTTCTTTTTTTTTACGGGTTTTTTAATTCAATTTTTTGTGTGCAGTTTATAACTTTTTTAAGCATTGCACAGTATATGTTAATTAACAGTATACAACACGATATAAATAAACGTATTTAAGAAGAAATATTAACTATCTCCTGGTCTGCTTTAAAATTACGCGCTTACCACTGCTTGGTCTCTAAGTAGTTAATATGTTTTGGAAGCCAGGGAGATGTGGCCTCTTGTGCCCCAGGCTCTTCTTTTGTGGTCATAAACTGGGGATATTAAACTTGGAAGAAATGATTTAGGAGAACATTCATCAAATGCATACAGCAACAAAACAAGATGTGTCAAAGCCAGAAAAATGCAGGAAGGCACTTGTTTTCATGTATGAATAGTTCAAATAATATTTACGCAAGGTTCCTCAATAAGCTTACAGGTCTTTCAACAGGATTCTCGCGCTTGACGCAAATGATTACATTTATATAAAAAAATGTTTAACACTGGTAAATCAAAGGATTTATTCTATCAAAGACAGAGTAATGTAGATTTTTCAATCAGCCCATGTGTTTATCATATAGCCTCCCTGTATATCTTTCATCATATTATCTACTTCAATATCTTCACTTAAAGTACTTTATAAAAAAATCTGTCCTATTACAACATATCGCTGTCCCTACCACTCAGGCAACGGTGATCTACAACCCCACCCTGTATCCTCTCATGTTACTCAGTACAACACTTCCGCATCTATAACTATCATATAATACCCCTCTATAACACTTATATAACTTATAACACTCTAAAAACAAATGTAATTCTAATAAACTTTTCTAGTAACGCACCCTTCATATATAAACTTATATAACTTATCTTATCGCACCATATAACACTCTCTCTATTGCACAATAAAACTCTACTGTAGCTTTTCCTACTAGTTTATATACCCTTTGTCTAAGTCATCCCATTACTCCATATAAATATATATATGTCGCATATGTTAGTATCGTAATACTTATCACATACCTTCCAGAGGTCCCATTGCCTGAAGGTGAGGCTTCCTTGAAGTCTCTTCTCGCTTCCTCTGACACGTTTTTTTAAGAAATGTACAGTTGCAAGAAAAAGTATGTGAACCCTTTGGAATAATATGGATTTCTGCACAAATTGGTCATAAAATGTGATCTGATCATCATCTAAGTCACAACAATAGACAATCACAGTCTGCTTAAACTAATAACACACAAAGAATGAAATGTTGCCATGTTTTTATTGAACACACCATGTAAACATTCACAGTGCAGGTTTCTCATTATCTCATTCTCTAGAATCCTGATATCGCTTGTTTTACATTTTTCCCAATTTCATACTGGTTGATCTGTCTTTTCATTTCTATGCCTGCAGCCTTTTGTTTTCAAGGATCTTTATATTCCTGTCTTCCCATGGTATCTTCACTAAGGGAACCCCGGCCAAAGTGGATGTACTGTTCAACACGATCCCGTTCTTTATTTTTTCGTCTCCTGCAATTTCTTTTAAAGCCTACCTTTAAACAAACTGTTGCATGGACAATTGCTCCAACTTCTCAAGAAGTGGACTGTTCTAGTGCAGCTACACAATATAAGCCCCGCACTTTTTTTATCTGGAGGTACCTGGCGGACACATGGTCTGTTTTCCCTGCATGACCCCTAACCCCTGGCAGACAGTCACCTTGGGTACCTCTGCCTCAATGTAAGTTCGTGCTTCTAGTAAACTCTCCCTGTAAAAACCCTTATTGCTCAATGCTGAATGCACCCATAGCTGTATAGTATCTTAAATTTGCTAAAATTCTCCCCCAACAATGTATCACCTTCAATTATCTGTCGGCATCCAGGAAAGTTCTTCTACCCTCATATCTCTGCATCTCTTTCCTCGGCAGCCTTATGACATTATTTGGTCTCTAATAACATTCATCTTTTGACTGTAACTAAAATTACCTCCCCTTCATGGCCTTTTGTCCTCTTCCATCTCACATTACAAAACTGCCTTATGGCCATTTCCTCTTGGAGGTCCCATCGCTACCTGAAACCTAATCTTTCTAAAAGTGAACTAATCATTTTGCCTCCCACCGCTTTTTCCCCATTAACAAAACTCTCCATTACCATTGATGACCTTGTTGTATTTCCCACTGACCAAGAACAGTATATGTATCATCTTTGATTCTGACACCTTTTTCATCTGGTGCGTTCTATCCATCATCTAGACCATTCACCTCCAGCTCAAATACAAATGATCAGATTCATTCATTATTCATGTGTGCTTTGCCATTTACATCCTTGTCGTATAACATTGGTCATTAAACTAATTGGCCTTCCCAAGACACATTGATCATATCTCCAAGTGATGGAATGTTACTGTCCAACTTGTAGTTCTCACACATCGTTCCTATTCGCTGCCTCATTTCAGAAAACCTTAACTGCCCTCCAACCCTATTTAACCCATTAATGGCCAAGGATCCTTTGAGATGTAATGTGTCTGTGACTACTGCCTTTTTTACACTGTTGTCAGGAATTCATACCAGAGTTTTACCCTTTCAGTTTAAGTGCTTCCATACATATTATATATAAAAATTTTTAAGGAGAAACAGGACTTTCTTTTGCTACCCTATATCTATTACAAATATATATATATATATACAAATAAACTATTACAAATGTTAAACTAATTAATTTCTACACACATACAATTTAAGAAAAATAACTCAAATTAGAGTCACTAATTACTTATTCATTATTAAAATGCCAAATATGTCTAGGAATGTAATTAATGCTTAGAATTTACAAACAAAATATTGCATGTAGTGAATTAAAGAAAAACATTTGCAAAATTTTGCAAGCTGTGATTACAACTTTAATAGTAGTTACAGAATCCAAAATGGCTACGTGAAAGTATATATTTATAGAAAGCAAATATGGTTTCATTGAACCATTTTATTATACATATGTATAATATTCCGCTAACTGTTCTTTAAGTACGTTAATGTCCCATATGTAAACCTTGCAGGGGTTTGAGGGACTGTGGATTCAAAGAGCAGTCATGCCTTTGAAATGCCTCTTTGCTTACCTACTAGGGCCACGATTTGGTAAAGCGACATTATCTGTGTCATCGTACCGAGCAGCATCAAACATTGGCACTGTTTCTAAACCTAACATTACCCCTAATCCTAACCCCAATCCCAACACTACTTCAGAGGAATTTCCTAATTTATACAGTATAGCACTCTCTATGAGCACTCTGTAGTGTATGATTGCAGCATGAGAAGGTGCTTACACTGCCACTATGTCCTAATTGCTGTCCTTGCCGATCACACATTGATCGGTGCTGATCATGAGGCAGAGCCCAGTTCTGGTTAAAGTCAACATGGGTCATGCAGGGAAAACAGACCATGTATGTCTCACACTGTCCCATACACACTTGGAATCCTATGATTTTAAATGGATTTAAAAACTTACTTAGCTAATCTGTCAGTTGGGGGCCACTAATTGTGGTCTAAGCTCACCAATGGGACCATCAGGTATCAAATAGCACATATGACTCCCTAGTACCAGCAGACATCTAACCCTGCTGGTCCCATAAACCCATAACAATCTGTGCCAAGTGTGTCCAACCCGCAGGCCGCATGTTGCCCTGAACCGCTTGTAATGTAGCCCAGTTGCAACCGGCAACTGGGCTGAAAGGGAGGCAGGGAGCCCATTACTTACACTTCTCTTACTGCACAGCTCCATCGCACTCCCTGCAGTGAGCCAGCAGCTGGGACATGACGTCATCACTACTGAGCGTGCGAGGGACACGCTCGAGCCCTCTCCTGTTTGCAATACTTTTACAAAGAAGCCCAATATCCCTGCAAACCACTATCACATGAATGTTGATACACCTTTTATCTTTTCTTATTACTCTATATAATCTTTTATAGAATGCCACTTATTGCTCTCTGTATGCGAAACAGACTCTGGTGCAGGTGGGTTGCTGTAAAGGTGCTACCAGCAGCAGGATAGTGTCAGGGTACCTGTGGTTACTGCCCTGGCAGGAATCCAGCCTGTGGGTCTTCTCCCACATAATGGGGAGACTCCTTCCATTCCCTCCTCTCATCTCGGCCATACAGACACTGGTCACGGTGGCTCCGCCCCTTTTATGACACAGCGCATGTGCGCCGACGTCATGACATCGATGATGTCACAGCCCACCAAAACTTTCGAATTAGGACGTTTTGGGGGCATGGTTATTGTAACAAAAAGCACAGTCTGACTATAAAAGACATATGAATTATAAAGCCGTTCGGTATTTTGTAAGCATTCTCCATGCGAATGCTTACCTGCCTTTAACAGGCCACCCTAACTGTTAATTATGTCCAATTTACTTCCCTGCTTGATGGGCACTTTTATTCGTAACAACCGCACGAACGCTAAGGGAACTGTAAGCTCAGCCGCCATTTCGAGACTTCCACGTGTTCGCGGCCATTTTAACTCCCGAACAGCGGTGTTTGCCGTTGAATGTCTGGAACTAAAATTGGACACTCAGACAGGCGAACACCGCTGAGACCTCCATACCTTTGGGAAAACCTCGCCAAAACTACCAAAGACCGGGCGTTCGGTAGAAAGAATCAGCAGCATATGGGGATTTCAGCGAACCCAGTATGGCATATGGATGGCCGGTCGTTCGGGAGCTTTTACCCACGTTCTTAGACCGACTGCAGGGCCAGCATTCATGGAACTGTTTTCGGCTACTGTGCCCGTGCGGTCGGTCAAAACTTCTAAGTCCCATATCTCCCGAACGGCTGAACCGATTGAGCTGATTTTTAAATATGTTGGTACCCTAAATGGAAGCTATCTGGGGTACATCCGAACTTTGGGGAAAATAAGTTCCTTTTTAATTATGTTATGTAGTTGTCAGGATACTGACAGGGATCCAATACGCAGAGTGCGGACAGAAGGAGGTACGTATACCGGACCTTAGAATGGCCGGACTAACGTAGGGACAAAACAAGAATAGTCAAAAGGTAAGCCGAGGTCGAGGGAGCCGGAGGACAGGTATCGAGATACAAGCCGAGTCAAAGGAGAGGACAACAGGACAAAAGACAAGCAAGGGTCAAAACCGGAAACACAAGAGAAAGAACGCGCTGAGTGACTAGCAAGCTAGAACCACGACAGGGCAATGAGCAGTAGTAAAGGTTTCCTTTAAATACCCTGTTACCTAAATAGAGACCACGCCCCCAAAAGGTCCGGAATAGCGGTTCCCGGCACTTTATGTAAATGCCGACGTCATGACGTCGACGCTAGCCGTCGCGTCATAAAAGGGGGAGGAGCTAGCGCGGCCGGCGCGAAAACGGCCGGAATATGCCGAAAAGCTAGGGGCAGGGAGCCCCTAAGCAGAGAGGATGTCTTCCCTGGATTCAGCACCAACAGGTACCCTGACAGTACCCCCCCTTCTAGAAACGCCCACCGGGCGGATGGGACCGGGCTTAGAAGGAAAACGAACGTGGAAGGCCCGAAGAAGACGAGGAGCATGCACGTCTATACCAGGAACCCAAGACCTCTCTTCTGGACCATAACCTTTCCAGTCTATGAGGTATTGCAGCTTCCCCCTAGAAATACGAGAATCAAGGATGGACTTGATGATATATTCCTCCTGACCATCCACACGGACCGAGGATGGAGGAGCAGAGCGGGAGGAAAATCTGTTACAAACAAGAGGTTTCAATAAAGACACATGAAAAGAGTTAGGAATGCGTAGAGTAGGAGGCAGGTCCAGCAAATAAGAAACCGGGTTGATCCTCCTCAGCACCCTGTAAGGGCCAATGTAACGAGGAGCAAACTTCAAGGAAGGGACTTTCAGGCGAATGTGTCTGGTACACAACCAGACCCTAAAAATAGGAGCAGGCCGTCTACGCCTATCAGCATGTGACTTAAACACCGCGGAACTACGTGTAAGGATTTGTCGAGTCTGATCCCACAACTTTCTCAGGTTGGCTATATGAATATCAACCGACGGTATACCCTGGGAAGGAGACACCGACGGAAGAACAGTAGGGTTAAAGCCATAGTTCAAGAAAAAGGGGCTATTACGAGTGGAACCACAAACAAGGTTGTTGTGAGCAAACTCCGCCCAAGGAATCAGACCGACCCAGTCATCCTGGTGTTCAGAAACAAAACAACGTAGATATTGCTCAATTTTTTGGTTAGTGCGTTCGGCTGCTCCGTTAGATTGAGGATGATAGGCCGAAGAAAAATTCAGTTTGATGCCCAACTGTGAACAGAAGGATCTCCAAAAACGGGAAATAAATTGGGAACCCCTGTCTGACACAATCTCATTGGGAATACCATGTAAACGGAAAATTTCTCTAGCAAATATCACGGCCAGTTCAGGAGAGGACGGAAGTTTAGGCAAGGGAATGAAATGAGCCATTTTAGTAAACCTGTCAAGGACCGTGAGGATAACCGTATGCCTACTGGAAGCTGGTAGATCAACAATAAAATCCATAGCCAAACAAGCCCAAGGTTTGTTGGGAACGACTAAGGGCTGCAATAAACCACAAGGGAGATCCCGTGGAAGTTTATTCCTGACACAAACATTGCAAGCCTTGACAAAGTCTTCCACATCCCTACGTAAACCAGGCCACCAGAAGTCTTTGGAGATCAGGCAGTAAGTTTTGTGGATGCCGGGGTGACCAGCGAACTTGCTATCGTGAAAACAGCGAATAATGTCCACTTGGAATTTGGGAGACACGAACAAGCGGCCCACAGGAGTACGTTCGGGAGCAAGAGATTGTTCGTTCATAATATCAGCGAGCAATGGAGAGTGTATTTTGACATTGGTGTTGGCGATAATATTGACTTCAGGAATAATAGGGAACAAAGTGTCCTCTGTAGAGGTGATAGGTTCGTGCTGACGTGACAAAGCGTCTGCCTTAGTGTTCTTAGAACCAGGCCTGTAAGTAAGCATATAATTAAAGTGTGTAAGGAACATAGACCAACGTGCCTGCCTGGCAGATAATCTTTTGGCCTCCCCATATACGATAAATTTTTGTGGTCAGTCAAGATAGTAACTGGGAGGACAGTGCCCTCTAACAAATGTCTCCATTCCTTTAATGCCATAATGATAGCTAAAAGTTCTCTATCACCAATGTCATATCTCCTTTCAGTGTGTGATAGTTTCTTGGAAAAAAAACCGCAAGGGTGCAGCGGCTTATCTAAACTTTGTCTTTGGGACAACACTGCGCCTATCCCTGTTTCAGACGCATCAACTTCAAGTAAAAAGGGTAGAGAGGTATCAGGATGAACTAATACAGGTGCTGAGGCAAAAGACTGTTTGAGCGTTTCGAAAGCAGATAAAGCCTCAGTAGACCAGGTTTTGGTATCGGCTCCTTGTTTGGTCATATTAGTGATAGGAGCGATAACAGAGGAGTACCCTTTAATAAAACGTCTGTAATAATTAGAAAATCCAAGAAATCTTTGTATGGCTTTGAGTCCCTTAGGTAAAGGCCAATCTAAAA